TTGAAATAAGAAGGCAGGGAGAGCAACTGACCTACTCGGGGATAGTTACTGTTATCCCAAGTCCTTCAGGATATGGACTATGGATTTTCCTGCTTTTTTGTAGACTGACAAACTGCCTAACTAGATTTATTCCAGTTAAGGGGCCAGGGCTGATCTAGATTGACCTAGAATTCATTATGCATTGATTGTGATACATCAGCACACTATTTGACACACCTACCAGCAGTCATGACAGGAAACACAGGACCAAATAATGAACCAGAAGGTATGTCAGCTAGATTTATGGAAATTTCCGCCTAATTTGTAAAAAAAAAACCATGAATATTCCCTATCTGTATTAAGATGTACTTTTCCTTATAATGTTAAAAGCAGGTCAGGTCATGTCTATCCAAGAGTCTGCACTCTAACTTTGGCACGTGTGCTTTTATTTTCTCAATGAAATTCTGCTGCTTGCTATTTGCTGCTCTTTGACTTTGTCATGAATTTTTTCTTGGGGCAAAGTTAAGAATCTTGACACTGAGTAGTGGTCATTTGCTGTTCTGTTCACTGCCATTATCCAGTGTTAGGAAGCTTGGGAACTTGTCATCCTTACTTTATAAAAAAAGATTTGAAATTATGTTAGGATTAGAAAGACACAGGAGAAATTGGTTTGAACCAGGGTCTTTTGTATTTGAATATATTGTATTAACCGTGCTTCCATAGGTAATCTCAATCAAAGATTCTTGTTTTATTTTTTTCCAAGATACATTGTGTTAGTTCATTGATAAAATGAAAAAAAATCAAAGACAATACTTCATATACCTCATTGGTTTATTGTAAAGATTGTGAAATAAGTCAGGTGTTAATAATTTTCAACACTAGTAATAGTTCTCTAAATGTTGGCTGGCCATGGTTTGGGAAAAGAAACTAATGCTTCATTTAACTTGTTTCACCTTTTGGTAAAGCAAAAGATGGTATTCAGTAAATAAATGAACTTGTTATAAACAAGCATACAAACACTCTTCAGATAAGAGCTCTGGATCATTCCTGTCTGAGATGGTATGATTCAAATCTTGACATTTATTGCAGTGAGTTATAAATGATGTTTTTAAAAAATAGATACTTTTAGATCTTGATAAGCTTTCTCAAAGCTTTTTAAAAAATTTTGACCCCAAATACTTGTAGTTCTTAATGTTTCCACATTGATTCAAAACAAGGCTCTTAAGAGAAAGAAAAGGAACAAAGAAAAGCAACTTGAAATAACTTGCTTACTTTTTAAAATAGGTTTATTTTCTTACAGAATGTTGATGATATTGAAATATCTCAGAACAATGTTGATCTCAAAGATATAATTTGAATAAGAAGAAATAGGTCAATTAGGTATATTTTCTTTTGAAAATAAACTAAAAATCAAACTGATTGGTAACTCTTTGATGTTAAGAGTGCTTGATTCTTCAGTGCCTTTACTTTATATGTGAAACAAACATTTCTGTTAATGTTTTGAAACTCATATTACCACCAACCTGACATATTCTGTGCACTTGCATGCATGCTTAATACACTGATCCTGCCTTTGGACAAATTTCAGCAGCAGGCAAGGATAGTCTTTTATGAAGTTCTTAATTTAACTAAAAGAGGTCCAGTGGAGGAGTATGTGTATATGTGTATGTGTGTATGTACAAATTTGTTAATTCAGACAGGGATTATTTACAAAGAATTGGTCCACTTGTAAGCATGCTATTTAAAGTGAGGTACAGAATGCTCAGTGTCATATCAGAAGTGTAACTGTGGAATACTTCTGCCCACCAGTGTGGGAATGAGCATGACTGCAGGTTCATCACATTCTCAGGCTAGAACATTTTTAGGTGATCCCAAATGAAGGCTGGGTAGTTTGAATGACCAAAATTTCTCAGGAATCTATAATTATCTCTTTTTTTAAGATTTATTTATTTGAAAGACAGAGTTACAGGAAGAGAGGAGAGAGACAGACAGATCTTCTATCTGGTGGTTCAATCCCCAGAGAGCCGCAACAGCCAGGGATGGGCTGGAATGAAGCCAGGAGGTTCATGCATATCACGTACATGAGTTCAGGGGGCCAGGGATCAGGGTCATCCTCCACTGTTTTCCGAGGCACACCAGCGGGGAGCCAGATCAGAAGTGGAGCAGCCGGGAGTCCAAGTGGTGCCCACATGGGATGTGAATGCTGCAGATCATGGCTTATATGTAATTATTTTAAGCAGAATAGACTGTTCAAGCAAAGATAAAATATCTGAACTTCTGTAGAAAATCTCTGCTCCTTTCCCCTCTTGTATTTCTTTGATTTCATTTTGTGATAACTAATGTTTTGTTCTTCAGTTTTCTTGTTCTCACTATATTCTCTCTCATGCTTCTCCTTCTACTAATCACTTGTCTTTGCATTCCTCCTTTCACTCTCCCTCCAAATAATCACACTTTTTAAAAGTGATTTATTTTATTTATTTGAAAGGCAGAGTTACTGAAAGAAAGAAGGAGAGACAGAGAAGTTTTCCATCCACTTGTTCACTCCCCAAATGGTCTCAATGGCCAGGGCTGAGCCAGGCCAAAGTCTGCAGCTAGAGCTTCTTCTGGGTCTCCCACATAGTACAGGGGCATAAGTGTTTGGGTGATCCTCCACTGCTTTCCCAGGTGTATTGGCAGGCAGATGGCTCAGAAGTGGAGTAGCTGGGACTTGAGCTGGCACCCATATGGGATGCTGGGCCTGCAGGTGTAGGTAGCCCACAGGGAATCAAAAGATGGATCAGGTTAGGAACCTTAGATGATGATTTGTTTTAGAAGTAACAGCAGAAATTCATACCATGATGTAGTGAAGCAAGTATAATAAAGGTGGCACCTTTAAAGTCTTTTAAGATTTTATTTTTATTTACTCAAAAGGTAGAGTTACTGAGTTTGGGTAGGGGTAGGAGAGAGAAATCTTCCATCTTGTGGTTCACTCCTCAAATGGCCACAACAATGAAGTGGAGCAGCTCGGACTCAAAACTGCACCCATATGGATGCAGGCATTGCACACTGCAGTTTTTCCTGCTAAACCACAGTAACATCCTCCTTTATAACCTATTAAAGAAATTTGCTATTTAGGAGAAGGCTTAATCTGCTATATGTGACATAACCCTATCACATCTGTCAGGTATGTCTAAGAGGAATTTTGTTTAGTGCTAGGGATGTAGAATGATTCTTTTAATTGTCCCTCGATTTCAGACATTATTCACTTTACAATTGCTGGGGATACATCTTTTAACACCTGCTATGTGTTTGCCTACCAGATGGAGCAATACATGTGGCATATGCAACAAAAGTGTTCCTTGACTAGATGAAAATATGGACCCTCCTTGAATAGCTGCGTTGAAATATAAATTCTTAAGTTACACACTTACCTCCAATGGTCTCCCCTCAAGTAAACTTATCCTGGAATTATTAGATTTATCATTCTGCTTTACTCTCTATTCTTATAAATTGGAACTGTTTAAAGTAATATTTTCAATGCAAAATATAGGGTTTGTTTTATATGTGTTTCAGTCATCTATAAACATTAAGATATATAGCCCATTTTTTAAGCAATATTCTGATTATACAGGACTAATTGCCTTTAAAAATCTTATACAGGGGATAGCCTTGTGATGCAGGGGTTAAGTTGCCATTTGCAATGTTAGCATCTCTTATCAGAGTACGTGTTTGTGTACTGGCTAATCTGATCCAGCTTTCTGCTAATGTGGCTGGGAAAGCAATGAAGATGATCGAACTACTTAGGCCCCTGCCTCTCATGTGGGAGATCAGAATGGAGTTCCTTTTTCCTAAATTAATCCTGAACAGCCCTGACTGTTGCATCCATTTAGAGTGTACAAGAAGAAGGATGATCTCTCTCATGTGCTCTCCCTCTTGCTGTACCTTTGAAATAAATAAATTCAAACTCACAACAGTGAAGGTATTACTATTATTGTTATGTTCTGCATTCTTAACCAATGTGTTGTCTGTCTCTGGGTCTGTCTCTAGTGCCTAAATTGTTGTTAATAGGAATTAGATCAGATTGTGTTTACGGAGTAGGTAATTTTGCATGTTTTTACCATATAATACACAGTTGTATCATCTTTTATCTCAGTGCTTATGAATCAACTACAGAGCAATTTAGGTCATTTTACTTTGCTAGGTAGCATTTTTGTCTTAGAAAGTATTAATTTTTTTTTAAATTTGACAGATAGAGTTAGTGAGAGAGAGACACACACAGAGAAAGGTCTTCCTTCCGTTGGTTCACCATCCCCAAATGGATGCTACAGCCAGGACTGTGCTGATCTGAAGCCAGGAGCCAGGTACTTCTCCTGGTCTCCCATGCGGGTGCAGGGCCCAAGCACTTGGGCCGTGCTCCACTGCCCTCCCAGGCCACAGCAGAGAGCTGGACTGGAAGAGAAGTAACCAGGACTAGAACCCGGTGCCCATATGGGATGCTGGCGCTGCAGGCAGAGGATTAACCAAGTGAGCCCCGCGCCGGCCCTTAGAAAGTATTATATGTCTCACTACAATAACAGTGAATTATGTTTCACAAAATAGCCTTTTTTTTCTTAAAGGTATATATCCTAATTTGATGTTAGAAATGACCAGCTTTAGAAATGTGATTGGCCTTTATGTCTTTTTAGATTCCTTCTGAAGATACATGTAGCACAAAAATGAATTCTTTGGGAATTGGAAAACTAGTTGATAATGGGATAAATCATTTTTACTTTATAGGAAAAAGTAAATGCTTCATTATTTTGTTGTTATTTACTGCTTCAAAAGGGAAAAATAATTTTAGGTAGCTATGTGCATGTGAGTCCAGATTTCATTTGATAAAAAGAGGCAAGAGGGACAACTTCCATTTCTTTATGATGACACATCAAGTATGCCCTTATCTCTAAAAATATTAGAATGGATGAGTGAAGCCTTCCTACCCTGGTTTTTTCCAGTATCTCTAGAACAACTAGTAGCATTTAAATTATGATATGTTTATTTTACAGGAGCTAATGAGAAAGAAATAGCTCTAATGAATGCTTTGACCGTCAATTTACATCTCCTACTGGTAAGTCTCCTTTCCCACAAATGTTTAGAATACTCTTAATTATAGAGTCTGATGTTTTCTTATCTTTAATTCATGAGCATCTATGATTCACGTCTATGTGGTTTACAGATGTGAAAGTTGTGAGGTTATTTTAATTTTTACCAGCAAATGCTGAACAATAGTATAACAGCCTCTGCATCATCATGGAAGAGTTGACTTTGGCAAAGAGCTATATAATAATCAACAGTGCTTATCTCAGAATGTAAGGAACAAGAGATATGGTGGGTAAAAAGGAAAACATCTTTCAGTACACAGAACAATCATGTTAGCAAATCATTGAGTTTTTTAGGAAGTTTTCCAATACACTGATTTTCACACAGTAGGGTTATGGATCAGTATACTTTTGTGTTATAGGTTATAAGAAATATGTTAAGAAACACTTGGAAATTAAAATTATGTAGGAAAAGGTCACCAGTGCCTTGAATAGTTAACAAAATATTTCTCACATTTTAAGTACTCAACACAGTTTTCTTAAAATGACACATACTCATATAGTCTTAATTTTGATTGTGGTGTTTGTGATATGACCATTACCCTATGATTTGGAAAATTTTGACTTCACTTTTTTTTTTTTTTTTTTTGACAGGCAGAGTGGACAGTGAGAGAGAGAGACAGAGAGGAAGGTCTTCCTTTGCCGTTGGTTCACCCTCCAATGGCCGCCACAGCCGGCGCGCTGCGGCCGGTGCACCACGCTGATCCAATGGCAGGAGCCAGGTGCTTCTCCTGGTCTCCCATGGGGTGCAGGGCCCAAGCACTTGGGCCATCCTCCACTGCACTCCCTGGCCATAGCAGAGAGCTGGCCTGGAAGAGGGGCAACCAGGACAGAATCCGGCGCCCCGACCGGGACTAGAACCCGGTGTGTCGGTGCCACAAGGTGGAGGATTAGCCTAGTGAGCCACGATGCCGGCTTTGACTTCACTTTTTACAAAGTCATATAAATATATTATAAATTTAGACATCCCTGGACTTGATTTACAGGCAAGTTACTCAATGCCTCTCTGATCTTGGGCAAGGTTTGTAGCATCTCTAATTATTAATATTCTCCTGTTTAAAAATGAGGACAATAATACCTACCTCATAGATACTTAGCAGGATTAAATATGGTAATATGTGAAAATTCCTCTAGCATGCCATCCAGTGATCGACATCACTTAACAATAACTGCTGTACTTATTTTCAACCTCATTCTCCAGGAACTATTTGCAGAAAGAAAAGGGTCCCCCTAGACAGTGGGTGCACTGGTGCCTCTTGTTTCACGGTGGGGCTGAGGTACTTTTGGGTGAAACAAAAATAAGCTCACAGGGGACTGACGCTATGCATAGCGGGCAAAAGACACTGCCTGCAGTACCAGCATCCCATGTGGCCAATTCATGTCCCGGCTGCTCCACTTCCGATCCAGCTATGGACGACATCTCTCTCTGCCTCTCGTTCTCTCTCTGTGTAACTCTGACTTTCAAATATTAAATAAATCTTTTTAAAAAAATAAGCTCAAAGAAAATAATAAAATAATAAAGCAGTGGGAATGATGTATGGAGAAAGCTCAGCTGACAGTGTAAAGTCCATCAATATAAAGAAAAAATCTGTAGAACATGTCACAATCTCATACTAAAGAAGTTGCCATTAAAGTGCTATGAGAAGATAATTTTTCAATTAAATGTGAGAATTTGCTTTTATCTGATTGCCATTCCAGCCCCCCACTCAAGTTTGCTTTTCTGAAAATAAGCATAATCAGCCAATATCTTTGTTTTTATAATTATTTGGGAACAAGGTAAATTGAAAAGGTACCCCTGATAACTTTAAATGTTTAATTAATAAATGCCTTTAATGTGTTGGAGATTGTAAAATGAAAATGTGACATAAAATGAGCAAATGTATAAATTGTGCATTAATGCTTTCTCAATAAATCCATTTCATTGTAGTTATCATTCTTTAAGCCTACACCAAAACGGCATAAAATTCTTCTAGAAGCCAAAGCCTTCCCTTCTGATCATGTAAGGATTTCTTCAAATAATATTTATGCTCTTTCTATTTCCTAGAGAAGCTGATCATTTGTTTGACTTCAGTGTTTATTCAGTAGTCTTTTCCAAGTAACCTTACAATAAAAATCTGTCAAATGCTTTTGATTTAGGCATTTCTTATAGATTGTTGCTTTATTTCTTTGGTCAGTAGAACATGTGTTTAGGGAGGAAAGAATTGAATAGGTACATTGATTTATTAGTGTTTTTAAAGACATTGAGCAAAACAATGGTCTAAATCAAGTGTAGTTATAAATGTTTCATTAATTATTGTTGCTGTCTTATTTTACAAAATCAAATCAATACAAACTCCAGTGCTTAATGCTTTATCTGTAGAGTTGAAATATAAACTTTTACTTTTCTGTTTGTTTTCATAGCACTCTAACAATTATTGATTTCTTATTATCAAGCATTATTAAAGATTAAAAACATTTCTGTGGTTTAGTAAACAATATCATACTGCAACATTATGATCAATTCAATTGAGAAAAAATTTGATTATTCTTGACACAGATAAACGTAAATAACATATTTCAGTTTCAATGTTTTGTATTATTACTGTTAACTGCTCTGGTTCATATCTTATAATTTTAGGGCATCTAAAAATTATGTCAAAATTAATAGTCATTATACTACTATAAAGAAACCATAATATCCTGAAAGAAATCAGAGCCTTTGTAATTGCCATGCATATCTTATACTCTCAAATAAGTAAATTTTTAATGCCCTTTCTTCATTAATTTAGTATTTTTAGAGTGAGCTATTTCTATAGCTTGTGTTCAAGCATAATGAGTATATACTATTCATTTCAGTTATTTTGCAAGTTCTACTTTTGAACTAGATTAGGTGATCTAACATCATATTTAAAAAATCTCTTGTAACCATTAAGGTCTAGATGAATGCTACATTTCCATTCATGTCAAATATGAAGTATTTCAAAGAATGTTGGGATGCTTGCAAATAAATCATACTAAGTGGTTTTTCTCTGATGTACTCAGTTACTTTTAACCTTGACCTTGGACTTAATATGATATGTTTTTATTGATATTTTATTATTATTTTCAGATTTGCTATTTCAGTGTACTTGTGTGTCTTGGGTTTGATTTAATACATAAATCATATTCCCTTTCCAGTATGCTATTGAGTCACAGCTTCAACTTCATGGACTTAATGTTGAGAAAAGTATGCGGATTATAAAGCCAAGAGAGGTATATGAGAAAGAAATAAATATTCATCATGCTTCTATTTAGTATTGATTGTTTTCTTCATTTTCCTCAAAATCTTATTATCTTCATTATTTTAATGGAACTTTCAAAAAAGTATAAAAGATCTAAACTTCTGTTACTGTGAGATCATTTTGTTTAAAATAAAGAATAACTCAGAAGTGTATTTATTTTCATTTTCAAGGGCTAACCATATGGCAAACAAACTATTTTCCTATTTATACCACTGGAATATGCTGTATTCTTCAGCAGGATAGGAGGGGAGTAGCATTGGGTATATATCATTGTTAATTTCAAATGTCACGACTCAGGGACACCATTAAAATCAGGCTAGAGCCCAATGGCATTTTTGAAATGCTGTCATGACTTAATCTCTCACATTCCTTCTTACTTTTAAGTATCAAACATTTGCCATTGTGTTTAGATAAGAATGGAGAATGGAATGTCATATAGTGAGAAGGGCTTGAGTTTTACAGCGTGGGTTATATACTTCCATGGAATATCAGGCCCTCCAATGTACAGATTATGTGACTATGGGAAAGTTACTTTATTGGCTTGAGATTCCTTTATATTTAAAGAGGTAACAAAAGGTACATTTAATACAGTTTACCATATGTTCAAGGTCTATAGTACTACATATTATACCTTAATAGAGACATAAAACTAAGTTTTACAGACTTTGACATATAAACCCTGCAGCTAGTGTAATTTGGCAGTAAGAGAATCATACAAAATAAATTTCAGGTTTAATATGGAATTCTCATAGTCTTTTAAGCCAATGTTTGAATAATTACTTCTTTCAACCCAGAATTACTTTGAAGAAATTAAGGACCTGTTCTATTCACTTCTATTTGCCAACACGCAATAAATTAACATAATAAAAAGTTTCACACCTGGGAGAAGATAGCTATTACATATGTCACATATGAATCTCTAATTTTTAGTATAAATGAATACTGCCACTAATAACCACAAATTTTCATATTATAAATAATTATTGTTTGGACTCACATAGTGAGTCATAACCTTGGGACCATTTTTTAGTATAAATAGACAAGAGTCAAGTTGGGATGAGGGTATGGGGGAAAGAACCAATATTTTCCTAAAGTTGTACCTATGAAAAATTCATTCATTAAATAAAAGCTTTAAAATTAATAAATAAATAGATAAATAAATAAATAGGAGCAAATCTATAGGAGAGGACTATATTTTCTCATTGAGAAATACAATTCTTATTTGACAAATACTGCTTATTTAAAGAAATTAACTGAACATTGCTCTCTATGACACTTTTGGTACCTTTTTTACATTATGGTAGACAGACCATTTTAGATTCTCTTAAGAATACAGAGTCTGTGAGAAGGGCATTTGGCTTAATGGTTAAGACATGTGCTAGGACACTCACATCCCCTATCAGAGAACCTGGGTACAATACTGGGCTCTAACTCCTGACTGAGCTTCCTGCTAACCAGACCATAGGAGGCAGCAGTGCTGCCTCAAGTAGCTGGGTCTCTTCCACTCAACTGGACACTTGGATTGAGCTCTCAGCTCCTGGCTTTGGCCTTGGCCCAGACACAACCATCTCAGGCATCTGGGGAGTCAATCAGCAAATGAACCCTTCTCTGTCTATCTTTTTCCTTGTCTCTCTGCCTCTCCAATAAACAAAAAATGAAAAACTTGGTTCATTTAAAAAAAAGAATAGTTTTATATTCCCAAGTTACTAATGTTAGTTAGAATTTTCCTTGAAATTTCTAAATTCCTTGTCTTTTTAATATCAATCTTGTATTTTTAGATGCCATACAGATTCCAGGTTTCTTCTAACAAAGAGTGTGTTACACAAACATATGTGCACATAGACACACATGTAATGTGGAATACTGTGACTGGCAAATATAAATAATTATGAAAAATAATAACTAAAGGATAATTTATGAATATCTTAAGTTTCCAAATATATTAATCTGATTAATGATGCATTGACCTCAAAATAATGTATGATTTAGTATTGGAGAGACTACATGGAAACTAAGTAAGGAGAACAGAATTCTTGTGGTGCAAATAGATGTTTTGTATTTAACTGATGTTTTTCAGCTTAAATTGTTTGCAAGATAAAAATCTAAGTTTTTTCACAGTTTTTATTATGTAATCAGGCATTCATTATAGTAGAGACATAAGGGGAAAATGTAAGATTTTACTAATATTTTTCTTCATCTTTGGGTTTTGATCTTTATAATAATTTAGGAGAGATTTTTTGTAAGGTAATAGAGGACCCAGGTTAAGTGATATACAGATATAAGAAATGTAAGTTTTTATTTCTGAAAAAAAAAACATGATATTAGATTCATAAGTAGAACTAATTTCCAACAAATTTATCTTGCTATATAATAATTCATGGCCTTTTAGTGCTTTCTATTTTTTAATTGGGTAGGAATAAGAAGAAAACAACTGACAAGTACATGTATAGTAAAGATTAATTGAAAACTGGAGGCTAATTCAGTTTTATAAAGACTTATACTTTAAAAACTCATTTCATGATTTTATTGCTATCTCTTAATAATAAAAGCCTTATCCTACACTTTTGCCAGAGTTTTGTCATGAACTTGAAAAAATTTACCTTTAATTTTAAATAGTTTGTAAAACTTTGTTTTATACCTCTGTCAAGCCAATGGTTAAGAATGGTACACTACTATATTTTTATATTGATAAATGGCTAATGGTGAAATTGAGGTTGCTAAATATGAAATGACAAATTTATTATTGTTAATATGATGAAACTGTTCCTCATTTGACTTAGGGAGAAGAAATCTTAAGAATGGAGGATATTCTTGAGGTGATTGAGAAGGAAGGAGACTCTATTGCTGTGATTCTGTTTTCTGGCGTGCATTTTTATTCTGGGCAGCTCTTGGATATGCCTGCCATCACAAAAGCTGGACAAGCAAAGGTATGCACAACATTTCCCCCATGATCACTCTACAGAACAATGTTCTAACTGCCCTTCCAGTAAAACGCTTTTGTTTCTATCTGTGTTTTATAGTTGTTATGAGTTATAAAATGAGTACACCATTTTTCTATTATTTTTTGCCTTAGGTAATTTTATTTAACCCACTTTTGCCTTCTGTGGCCTTACCTCCTTATTACTTCTCTCTCAGTGTTTACCTTCCAGCAACATGTAGGACAGGCAAACTTCCTGTAGATGGTGTCATTGGTACTAGGTCAGCAAGAAACAGAAAAAAATACTTAGTTTAATAACTATGCAGCTATGCACGAGGACTGCTAAAAACCCAATTTTGGGACTGTGTCATATAACTCATTCTCAATGTAAATCAGTTTTAAACTCTAGGTACCTAAAGATGGAGGAATGAAGAGTTAACATTTTTCAGCAGATGGAGTTTTATACCAGTGTCTTCAAGGAGACCATTTTATTCTTCAAAATCTCAATAAATTACTGTAGTGCCTATTATGAAAGATATTTTCCTATGTATCATAAATTACACTTAAAAATTTATCATTTTGAAATCTTGATTCCTTATATATAAGTAAGTAAATGTCAAACATATTCTTAGTATTTATTTACCTGAGAAAAGAAATCAGTGAGGGAGCAGCATTCAGTAGTCTCAATTTGAATTTAAAATTCTTAAATAACAGTTCTATTTGATTCCACAATCAACTCATGTATTTAAAAAGGTGACAATCGAATTTTATTCTGAACATTAATAAGTTATGGGTCTCATCTATGTGTGAGGTCTACTTAATATATTCAGTTATTGAAGCTAATGAATGGAACTAATGAAAAGAAATTTAGCATCGTTATCAGCAGTCTCTAGGAATTTCCAACCACGACTTCCAACTGGTTTGATGGATAACTGTGAAACTGCAGCATTACAAAAGATATAAAGATAATGTCTTCTTAATTTAGATATTAAATGTTAAGCACCAAAATAAAGAGAGGCCAATAAAAAAATCACATTTTAAAGTGTTAGGCAAGTAATCAGCAGTCCCAGTTCCCTTGGTATACAAGCATGTCTCATTAACCTTCATAAATGTGAGACAGGAGGAAACAGAAGAAACGCTTTGAGTTCAGGAATCACACAACCAGAGATTCAAATCTTAGATAGGTTACTCAATTTTTATATGATCTAGGGCAACTTATTTTGCCTTCTTGGAGTCTTTTTTCCAGAGACACTAACTTGGACTAACACCATCTACCTCAAAGTTCCAATGTGAGAAGGAAGTATATAAAAAAAAAAAAAAAAAAAAAAAAAAAAAAAACTATTGATTTGGAACACATTTTGTTAGTAGGTGGTAATTTCTCTACCTACAACTATCCTCAATGAATGTGAAGTCATGAGAACTTGCCCAGATACACACTTTCTTTTATTTGCCATTAAAAGTAAAATCATTTTATTTATTAGAATTTATATGTAGTTCTCAATACTAAGAGTACTGATTGCTATAGTCATTTTTAAGTGTTCCATAGGCTTTTTTCCACTTAAAAAATCTAGTAAGTGTCTATCAACTCAAATTCTTATGAAACTCTCCATCAAATAAGTGAAGGCGGAAATGAACCATTTCTGTCTAAATGTAACTGCTAGGATACCATGGGAACAAAATAGAAAAAGAGGAGACATAGATTTATCTACTATCAAAATTATTCTAACAAGTGTTTACCTTCTTGCTAGACAAGACTCCCATTCTCAACTGAGTTTGAGAAGAGTTCTTTAAAATGTGGACTTACATAACTCTCTTGGGTGGCCTATGAAGATAAAGTGGAAGAGAGAGGCAGAGAGAAAATTAAAGATGACAATCACAAAAGAGATAGGAAATTCTAGGGGAAAATGCTTAAAGCAGTTGCTGCTAGGATTGACCAGAGTGGGGCAAAAGAGCATGTTTCCAGAAATCTCGAGCATCTCAGAAACCGAAAGTGATGTTGGAATGAGCAGTCAGTCAGTGAGTAGGAAAGTAGGGGTATGAAGTTGGAGAAATATCTGAATTCAAGAAGCACACGTGTACAAAAGCAACACAAATTATAAGTGAATGGATTTGTGAGTTATATCTAGACCTTATAAATATCACTCCCATCAAGGAACAGAATATTTCCATCATTCCGAATCTTGAAATTTTACCTCCTTCCAAATACTACCTGTTATCTCCTGTTATTTTTTTGGAGGGATGTCATAAAATAATGCCTTGCACTAGATAGTTCCAAAACAACAGCAATGTACTGCTCACAGTTTGGGAGGCTGTGAAGCCCTCAATGAAGGTATCAGAAGAATCAACGTCTTGGCGATCGTCACTTTTGGGTTCGTGGGAGACTCTTTGCTCTACACTCAGGTGGCAGATGTGGGCAAGGATACTCACGAGAACCACTTTTATGAGAGCAGCAATCCCATTCAACTCTATCACGTTGGGGGTGAAGTTCTAACATGTGAATTTTGGGGTAAGGAGATACACCAATATTTAGACCATAGGCTCCCCTTTAACCAAGCTATCATTTTCCTGACTCCTAACCATATAACTCAATGTTGTATAGCTTTGAGCTTTATAAAAGTGCACATATTAAACATTTTTATTTGGATTATTTGCTTACTGTTTTTGAGCTCCATCCATGGTTTATCTAGCTGTAGTTTTGTTTGTTTTTCTTTCCTTTAGTATGTTATTATAATGCGTGAAATAGACCAAAAAACTTACCTTTAAATACCAAAAGGATAGATATTGGATTTTATATCCATTTGAGGGTATTGCAATAAATGCATCTCTGGACATCCTGATAAATTTATTTGGGTCAATATTCACATACAGTTCTACTAAGTTTAAACCTAAAAGTGGAATTCTTAGATCATAAGGTATGTGTATATTCATTTCTAATCAATAATGCCAATTTTCCAAAGGGATTATAGAAATTTGATAAATACTCTTACCAGTGTATACAACAGTTTCTGTTGCTCTCCATCTACAATGGTAGCTGCTGTCATTAATCTTTTAATTTTAGCTATTCAGATTATTTTTTAGTAGTAACAAATTATAGTTTAAATTTGTACTTTCCTGATTATTTATCAGGTTGAGAATTTTCCTGTATATGTTCTTTTATGAAACATTTGCTCAAGTGTCTTGTACATTTTTCTATTTGGTAAACTGTCTTTTACTAATTTACTTGTGGATGGTATAGAAGTTGATTCGGAAGGAAAGAGAAAATACTAGATTTCTAATGGTCATGAAATAGGAAAGGTACACTAATTAATTAATTAAAGATAAGAATTTAAGATGCTGGGACTTTTCTTAACTGAGGAGATTTGAGATACTGGCAAATGGCATAGGCTGAGAAAAACTACAGTTAAGAGAGAACTGTACTACAAGGAAAGGCCACAGGGTGGCCAGAGACATATTTGAAGATTTATATCCATATATTTTTTTGGAAACTAGATACTTCATCATACATAATATAATGCCTTTATGGAGCTCTGCCTAACTTCCATATGCACAAGTTTTCTGTATTTTATTATTTGGTCTAAGAATATTTTCTTCTGTATATGCGCTGAGTGTAGGAGTCCATTGTCCTTTGCATTACTATCACAAGTTATTTTTAACTACTACACATACTCACCAATAAATACCACGTGAAAGCTCTAGGCTACTCTAAGAATAAAAAAAAATGAGGCTAATCTTCCTACTATATCTGGATGCACTTTGCATATGCACCTTGAAATCAGTATGCCCTAAATAAATTTGTCTCTCCAAAGGATGTCTATACTCTCTCATTCCACCATCCTGCTCTACCATTTCATTCAACTTTCCTGTTCTTGACCTTGATAATCACTATTCAATCCCATCTTCTCAGGATATATTTTTCCTTTAATTTTTCTGAAGTTAATATGAGAGCTTTCAGCTGCAAGAAATAATTCCAGTCAAAATTAACAAACAAAAATGGAGATTTCTTCTTCCCACTACGGATGACTTGAGGGAGAAGCTGCTGGGTTGTAATGTGCAGCCCAGCTGTATCTGAGTAACATCTCCAGAGTTCTCTTAGAATTTTCTCAACTTCTCACATTGTGGTCACAAGATAGTTGTTGCAAATCCGGATGGATATTACTTCTCTATTTAAGGCACAGAGCAGGAATACGGGAGAAGGAGCTGTGCAGCTTCATCTGTGCCACTCATCCAAAGTGCTAAATCTTTCCAAGAAAAACCTAGCAGAGTTCCACAAATGACTCACTTGCCTTCTGAAGTGACAGATTAAGAAGAATATGGGCAAGAAAATTCTTCACATTCATAGACAAATAATAGAGGGGCATGAGGAAGAAGGATTTCACAATGGGGTCTGGATTTGCTAACCCAAGGTTTTTCTTACATTGTTCCATTATACATCCATAGGATCTTATGGTTTGTGTTTCCCTCTTTCCTCTTAACACCCTTTCATTTTCCCATTCCCTTTACTCCCTCCTGTCCTCCCACTGAACTACTTACCTTCCTTCCTTCCTTCTTGCAATGTTTTTCTGTAGGAAGAGATTTATTTTTATAAACTGGGAAAACGTCTTTATTCTTCTTTCTTTTTTCTTACCTTATTTCACAAAACAGTTCAAAATGCTTCCTAGAAAATTGATAAGGTGACATAACTAAATACAAAGACAGCAAAACAGAATATCTATGGATCATTTAAAAAAAAGAAATAGACTCTCAGACTCTCCTACATATTATAATTTCTCAGTTTGTATTATAAGGCACAGGTGACAATTATTTACAGTGGAACACACTAGCTGTTTTAGTGAGGTAGACCAGCTCTTGGTTATTCATAAATAAATTAAACAATACCTTCATAGTGACAGATGTTTCTTGCTCATGCAACAGGAAGGGATCAACTTTCTCTCTATTTGGTAATTCAGATTCCCAACGATTAGTGTTGTGTCCTTTGGCTTTCATATCCTAGAGCCAATTGTGGATTCAGAC